TCTTATTACTGTCTTACTATGTAGCAGGCAGTTTACCATAAAACTTTCTTATGATTTTATTTTAAAGAAAATTGTTTTTAAATTTTTTATGTTGCTAGGTCAACAGAAAAGGTCATTTAAGTTAATGAACACATGAATTATAGGATTTTTAGTTTTTCTCAGTGAAAGTGAAATTTTCTCAATATGTTGTATATGGCCTTTCACAATTTACCAAATTTTGATATATTACTTCACAGTTACCAGTTTTCTTTTCCTTCTAGTAGAAAAAACATTCTCAGAATTAAACCTGTCTTTGGACACTGTCTTTACAGGTTAAGTAGCTAAGGACAGATACAAATTATGTACCTCCCCCTCTTTAAAAAAGTCAACAGATTAAAATACCAGTAGAATACTATTCAGATTTCATCAGCTTCTTCATTGTTGAAGTAAGTTGGCACTTATGCAAACAATGAAATAAAGAGGTTGGCATTTATAATTACTGAACAAAAGGTATCAAATATCAAAAAATTTCTGGCTTCAAACATGAAATATAATTTTCATTGTGGTGTTATAGGTTAATAATTGAGGCATGTCACTCATTCATTACTTTTCACTCTTTATTTTTGGATACATACCTGGATGAATCTGTCAGGGAAAAATTTTTATGAAACACTAATTCTCTGACTTATACTTAAATCTCATGTTTTAAGCAGTAGAAGTTAATCATGTGCTTCTCTGACTTTAATATGCATAATACTTGTCTGGAAAGTTTGCTGAAATGCCAATTCTGGGGGCCCCCTCTGCAGGTTTGGGATGGAGCATTCTAACAAGCTTCCTACAAAATAAAAACAAACCTGAGGGCTATAGTTTGACACGTTCTGATAATCACTGTGGAATTGGTAATTTAGAGGACACCCAAATATTCTAAGAGAGAAAAATCTAAAATCAAAAATCCCATATTGGATAACCAATTGGTATTTAATCTTAACTGGTTAGAATTAAGAGGACACTCTAGTGATGGTATAAAGTTGAACCACTGTACACATGAATCTGTCATTTACAGTACTGTGAATCATAATGCCCCAACAAAAATGGGAAAGATAGAGTTCAGAGTTAAAGCACTGGTTATCAAATAAAAAATTACCTGGGAGATACACAACACCAATCCTGTTAAAAATATTAAATCACTTTCTGAATTTTTATAGTACCATGACTGGCCATGTTTTTGTAACCAGACAGTTTCATGATCTTTCAGTTGTGTTCACCTTTCTCATCCTCTGTAAATGACCTAGGAATTTAAAGAAAATAGATCTATTTGAAAAACTCCCTGCAAATGTGAGAAAGTTGAGACATGTCTAATATTGTTGCCATATCGAGACACTGGCAACATACAATGAAAATTTGCAGTGTCCAGCTTGGCTAAATACCACCCCAAACAAAATCTAGAGCCTTTCCATTTCTTCAGAATACTCCTTCCTTCAAAATATTCCCCATTTCAGTTTCTATCACCTGTTCACACTAAGAAACCAACTTTTGATTTCTGTCATTCTAGAAAAGTTTTGCTTAAGTTTAGATTTCATACCAGTGTAATCACTGATACATTTGTTCTTTTATTCTTGCTCCTTTCATTCAGAATAATTTTTTAGATATTCTCATCTATGTTTATAACTTTGATTATTTGTTTTGTTTTTTGCCGCCAGGGCTTGAACCCAGGCCTTTATGCATGAAAAACAAAACAATAACAACAAACATATGCTCTGCACTGACTTAGATTTTCGGCACAAGATTTTTAATTATTATTGAGTAGTTTTCATTGAGTTCTCACCACTTTGGCTTTAAGATCACCATTTCAAATATCTCTTTGTGTAGTTTTCACCTTTTTCCTTTGTACATGTAAATCTTTCTGTCTCTTATGAGAACATTTGGAAGTATTTAAGGCTCACCTGGATAATTTAGGATAATCTCTCCATTTCAAGGTCTTAAACTTATCTGCAAAGACCCTTTTTCAAAACAAGGTAACATTCATAGGAACCAAGGATTAGGAACTACTATCATTTGGAACAATTATTAGATTGCTGCAGGATGTTTTACTGTTTTTGTATTTTAATTTTCTTCTGGAAATTGCTGTCACAACAGATTCATCTGAGGCTTTTAGTGCCCTAAATGGCATGCTTATTTTCTTACTATGATTGGCATTTCTTAGTTGAACCATTTATCTTTGAATAAAATTGATTGTATTCTAAAATCATGATATAATAGTCCAGAAGCCTCAGATGATAAGTAAGCTAATTACTTCAAATAATCATCAGGAAAAATTTAAATTATTAAGAGATTAAATTATACTTTCAATATCTCAGAACTGAAATATTACTCAGTAAAATTTAAAGATAATTTTTACTTTGAGGCAACCAAACTAATTTTTGGTTTGTATAACTTTCTTGGTCAGATTGGTACAAATTCATATCTATACTATTCATTGTGGCAAGTAACTTTCCATAATGGTTTATAGAAATTTTGTATCTCTTAGTCTTTGCTCCTACTGTTAGTAAGGTTAGAATTTTTTCCAGGATCTTGCTTAAAGCATGGGGCAATTGCAATTAAGAGTTTTCACTTGTATCTTAATTTATACTAGTGGCATAGTTCTGCTTGTGGCATGTAGTAACATTAAATTATCCCAGGTTTCTTATACAACTCTCCATGTAGTGTTAGAAGTGTAAATCAGATAAAGAACTTCAATGTAGTTGACTCTATTTGGCTTTGGGCTATTACTTAAATATCCAACTTGAACAATTAAACTCAATTGCTAATTCATTTTAGTTAATTATTATTGGGAATAATTTTGTTAAAAGTAATATTAACAAAATAATTGTTGGGGCCACAGAGATTGTAAAGTGGGTAGGGTAATTGTAAGCATCAGATCCAGGTTACGTATCCAGCCCTGAATATATTCTCAGTGAGCATTGCCAGGAGTGATCCCTGAGCACAGAGCAACAGTAAACCCTAAGCATAGGAAAGTGTGGGTTCAAAGAAAAATATTTTAAAAACCATAATTATCACTCTGAATGATTGCACTGGAGCACTGTCCTCCCATTATTCATTGATTTGCTCGAGCAGGCCCAGTAACGTCACCATTGTGAGACTTGTTACTGTGTTTGGCATATTGAATATGTCACGGGTAGCTTGCCAGGCTTTGCCGTGTAGGCGAAATACTCTCGGTAGCTTGCTGGGCTCTAAGAGGGGCAGAGGAATTGAACCCGGCTCAGCCCGGCAGGTGACTTGCAAGGCAAATGCCCTACCGGTGTGCTTTTGCTCCAGCCCTCTGAATTGTTGTATTATGTTATTCTTGTTTTACATAAATAATATATTTATTTGATAATTATGCCCCCCCCCCCGAAGGATCAATCAATAAAAAGACTAGGTTTCCTTTCTTCAATAGTTGTATTAACTAGTTTAAACATTTAAATGTTGATAACCATTAAATTTGGAATAGGAAAAAACTAGTTTGCCGAAGGGAAAAATGGAAGCTTAATTCGCTTTGTTTGCCCCTAATCTTACTCCCAGTTTACAAGATATTCATCAGTTTTTCTGTAGAACCAAATATCACAATAGTATTTGTTAGGATCATCAGCATCATGGAGAAGTTCATTGTGCCAGTAGTCTACATTATGTTAATAATTCTTTGTGAACTATGGAAATTGAAGTCACTTCTCTTGATATCACTTGCTGAAGTTTACCAGGTAACTTCAGCTTAGCAACTCAGATAATAAATGACATGCTACCTGTAAATTTTTTGTTCATTTTTTACTGTCTTTAAAAACAGCTAAGAAATGTCTATGATTTTATGAGTATGTGAATGAATCACATTTGTATCAGGAAATGTGAAAATAGCAATTTTTATTTTTAAACCCTTGGAATAAAGTATAAGAAAAGTTATTCCTACTCATTCAAAGGAAATTATAAAATTATTTTTTAAATTAAAATATGTTCTTTAGCAAATATGATAAAATGGTCAGAGTAATACTTGGAATTTCTAGATGAATGCTATCAAGTAGTTCCTTATTTACTTAGGTGAGATAATTATATGGCTTATACATCTTCTATGCTTGCCCCACATTAAATCAAATCTTCCTAAAAATAGGAAAACTCTCCTTGTTTGTATAGAAATTGCTGAAAATCAAATAAAATATTAAATATTTCAAAGAACTGATAGTTTTTAAAAGATAAAGGGCAACCACAGAGAAAGTAAAAGAGGAATAAAGGAATAATAAAAGTGAAGTTTCTAGTAAAACCACAATTATATTACCATTGAGGAATTGGTGACTTGGCATTGAGCATTATTTCTGATCACAGTGTAAATAATGAATTTCTCAACATTAAAAAAATTGACATTTGTAAAGATTTACAAATAAATTATTATTCAAATGTTTGTTAAGCTCTTCAAGACTGTCTAGAATTTACCCTTGAATGACCATTTTTCAATAAACATTTATATTTGGGAATTTATGCCTTTAAAATTTTTATTACTGAGCCAGATGAAAGTTGTTTTATTTAAAGTATGATTATATAATTTCATGGGAAAAAACCCATAATGTAGGCCATTTGTGATATCATTATTGGCCAAATATTTTATATAAGGAAAACTTCATACTCTGCCTAATTTGTGCTCTTCTTTTGTCATGTCCTGCTTGTCTGCATGTACCTATTTCTGTTTGTGTTAGTCATCCTCTCTAGGTAATTTGTCCATGAGACCAGTGATTCCATTAGCAAATTATCCAGAAAATGCTGTCTTTGCACGTTGTGACAGATCATGTCACTGGTGGATTTATAGCTACTCCAGTGGTCTAATTAACCTGGCAGTTGTCTCCTGTGCCCAACGCTATTGTCTTGTTGCCTTGGCATCTTAGTTTTCATCTTCCCATTACCTTCTTCCTTAACTAACGCTTAGATTTACTTTTTTTTTTTTAACTTACCCCCCAACTCAATTCTTTCTATTCACCACTTCCCTTATTTTTGATTGGCAGTATCATCCAGATAAACAAAGCGCAGATGTGCCAGCAGGAACAGTGGAGGAATGTATACAGAAGTTCATCGAAATTGATCAGGCATGGAAAATTCTAGGGAATGAGGAGACAAAAAAAGAGTATGACCTGCAGCGGCATGGTAGGTACTTGGGGTGAAGAATCATGCACATTGGCAAGTCCTTGAAGCACAGTCTGCAGCCATTCCTGGGGAGCATTTTCCAGCATTTGCACCAAGTTATTATTGCTTCTTTACTCCTCCCCTCCATCATTGTTTTTAATTATGCCCTATTCTTGTTAGTGATTATTGTGTATCCATTGAGAAGTTAACAAAACTACTCTAATGTGCCTTTCTGTGAAGCCATAAAAGCTACTTTTAATAACTAACGAAAAATGTTTAATTATACATTCTTAATCAACATATTTTATATGTTTAAGAAACTTTGAATAAGTTTAATTATGAACTGATTAAATTATTCTAGACTGTGTATGATATAAGTGATAATCTAAAGGAAGCGACATTATAGGGTTATCTGTGTGCTGTCTTTAACCTTGTCTTAGGTTAAATTTCATAATTGCATCCTAGGTATATAAAATCCCTTATGAGATTGCTACCTAGGATGTTTTAAATCAGTTTTAAAAGTCGCTTCTTTTACGTATTTTAGAAAATAGCTTCCTAAAACAATGACAAGCTCTTGTGAAAAAGGAGAGAAATGTAGGTCAGGTTTGTCACACACGGTCCACAGTTACACAAAGCGATAGGCTGTCTTTCAGCACTGGCTGTGCATAGGAGTCCTACAGCCTTCTGTTTGAACCTTCACTATGCTTCCTCCATGCTAATGGTGAGAGTCAATAATCAGTGATAGCCTGTGGGAAAAACACTCAATTGCACTCTGAGATAGTGCACCAGGCTGAGCATTGACTCTTCGATGTTGATAAAAGCTTGCTGTCTCTATAGCTGATTATTGAATTCTCTCCAGTGTCCTCTGTTGTTGATCATCAAATCTTATGAAATAATTTTAAGGTTCCTACTGCTAAGGTTAGAAAAGTCTATTTGAAAAATAGGCAATATTTGTAGGACATGAAATAATTTTTTTTTTAAAGCCATTATCTGGGGGGCAGAGTGATAGTACAGCGACTCAGGCATCTGCCTTGCACTGGCCAATCCAGGTTTGATTCCCAGCAACACATATGGCAAGCTCCCAGGAATGATCTCTGAGGGCAGGGCCAGGAGTAAGCCCTGAGCTTGACTGGGTATAGCCCCAAACCGAAATAGTAACTCATCCAGAATATTAATCAACTCTAAGTCCCTTCTTCTCTTTTAAAACTTTTTTTAAATGTTAAGATACTGATAAATGTATCTTGCAATGATTTTGACTTTTCTAATGTGTATTAGAAAATATTACAATCCACATCTTGAAAAACCTTTCTCCTTGCCTTTGAGAAATCCTTCGAAGTCTGGCTTTCTTTAGTCTGGTTTTGAGGTTCGCATGAAACCAACTTGCGTCACTTGGACGTTTGTCAAGACTACTGACCAGTTCACAACACAGTTTAGATATAAAAAATATATTGAAGGGTGGGCCTTACTGATGATGCAGGTAAATAGGCATATCTTCTGTTTAAGAATTGTTTTGTTTTGTTTTGTTTCCTTGTTTGTTTTGGGGCCACACACCTGTCGATGCTCAGGGATTGCTCCTGGCTTGGCACTCAGGAATTACTCCTAGCAATGCATGAAGGAGCATGTGGGATGCTGGGGATCGAATCTCGGTCAGCCACATGCCAGGCGAGCACCCTACCCATTGTAGTATCTCTCCAACTTTGGCCTAGAAGTTTCGTATCAGTTTGGCTTGCAAATATTTCAGGAGAGTGATTACTGGATTGGGCTATGAACTAAAGTAAAGTAGGAACAGAACTTTTTATGCATTTTTGTACCTTAGTCCTACATATAGATACTTCCTTTATCAGAGGCTCCAAATAGTGTTCTGTTTCATCTTTAAAATGAAGTAGGTTAACTTTTGATAAAGGAAATGAAGAAATTTTTCATGAAAATATAATGTAATTTTTAGCTTTTCATACTAGAACTGAATATTTTAGTTTTGTATTGTCATTTCTTTTGAATTTTTTTAAATTTACCCATCTTTAACAAATGTCTCTTCAAAAGAAGGAAATAAATTTCTAACAATAAGTATTTACATTCTGTTAGATGAAAACCTTTATGAATGACAGTTTGCTAACAAGCTGGGTCAAAGCACTATTTCCACCTCTTTACTCCCTAGGGGCATAAAAGTAGCTCTGTTTTAGAGAAATCTTTTATATAGACTAAGGGTATAAATATGTTTGTTACCTATTCTACATTAATTGGCAGTATAAAATAAATTTGAGCTCTGTAATACTTGGAACAGAGCAGTAGATGTTTTATTACCTGATGTTGAGTGCTTTCTCATGTCACAGCTAAAAGTTGGTACTCTGTTGTAAGGACAATATCACTAATATAATGTATAGCCTTTTTTTTTTTTTCGTAAAAAGGTTTGTATCCATATATCTTTGCTTCACAAAAGAAACGATCAAATGATTTAAATAAAATGATCTTTTAAATAAAGAAAAAGTCTGGGACAGATAACCTAAAGTATATAAGTACACACACACACACACACACACACACACACACACACACACACACACACACATACAAACACACATGCGTTTTCACCCTATTTTCCACATTTGTATTTGCAGTTAACATTTTAGACTAACATTGACCTGGTTAAAAGCAAACAAATCTAAAAATGGATAAGTAAATATTTAGGTCCTAGATAGTAAACATTTTGAAAGCAGTGTTAACTTGTGAGTATAATCGTTGAGTTCCAACTGGCATATTTATCTCATTGTTTCTTGGGATGTTTCCAAACACTGCTTTCAATGTTATCTTGAAAAACATGTTGCTATTTAAAGTTAGGTTTTATAATACAGACACCTCTAACCACTTGAAATATCTTTCTAGGATTTAGAATAGATTCACATTTTTATAATCTTTCAATAGATTATATTATTATATATATTATAATATATTATAATATATATTATATTATATTATATTATTATTTGGTGCCTTTATAAAGGTCTTTGGTGCTTTTTTGTGGAGAGTTTTCTTAAATATTAATCACTACCACTTAGGTGGTAGTGAAGGTATAGCAGTCTTGTACAGCAAAACCATAAAACATTATCACTACTGTAGCCACATTATCTGGAACACAACAAATTGCATGTGTGAACACACACTCAGAATGGACTTACTAACTCATGAAGAATCCACATTTTTTTTTTGTTTCTGTTGAGGCTATGACAGATTATATCCCACCGACAGTGAATGAGAACCCCTCTTTCAACACAAACCTACCAGCATTGGTGGTTTCTAGAATTTTCGGGATAGCCCATACTCAGAGATGTGAGATAGTATCTCATTGTTTTGATTTACATTATCCTATGAGTGAATGAACACTCATTCCTTTTCCTGTTGGTCATTATATATTTTCTCAGGGAATGTTACGCCTCTTTGTTTTTTTTTTTTAATGTGACTTTTTTGTTCTTATATTGTGTTTTGTGTGTGCTTTATATATCTTGTATCTTAGGCCTTTGTTAGATGCATAGTAGACAAATACGTGCTCTTAGATGTCTTCATTTTTGCCACAATTTCTTTTCATGGTACAGAAGTTTTTTAGTTTGATGCTGAACCATTTGCTTTTCCTTTTTTTCACTTTTTTTCACTTTCTTTGGCAGTGGAGTTGAATTACTGAAGATACTCTTAAAGTCAGTCTCATGGAGAGTTTTGCCTTGATTCAGTTGTTTTATGGATTTGGGTCCATGGATTTTTCTTGATTCAGTTATTTTATGGATTTGGGTCCTATGGAAGACAAATGCCAGAAAATCTCACTTATATACAGGTTACAAAGAAACAAAGTAAAGAAATAGACAATGGCCAGTGAAGATAAAACCTGAGATTCTGCCAAAAGAACTGTGTTTGCCATACTGGGTTTGGGGGCATGGAGGAGAAGGACTTTGAGATGGTGGTGGAGGGCTATTGGTTTGTTTTGTATTAGTAACTTTATGTCTAGAACATAAATATTATTGCAACTCATAATAACTTAAAAAAAAAAAAAGCAAAGACCACACACATGGAAAATAACACAGGTCATGAACCAGCAGCTTGGTAATGTTGCACAGAGATCTTTGATATATCAGTGGCTTTATAGAGAGAAGCAGCTCCTGCATTTAGGTTACTTCTCTAGGCTCTGGGGAGAAAAAAGCCTTCAATGAAGTCAAAGTTAATAATGCTTAAAAGAAATACAGAGTAAATTTAGCGGCCAGAGAGATTATTCAAAGATCCAAACACAAGCTTTGCATGCTGAAGGTGAGGATTGATCACTCTGTACCACCTCCAGGAACAAACCTTTTGTTGTTACTACTGTAATATAAATATATCTTGGGATCATTGATATAAGATTTGTTACTTTATTAGAATAGAGTTTTTTCTAGAATTAGTTTATATAGAATTAGAGGGGAATGAGGTCTTAAACAGAGGAATCCAAACGAAATAATCTAGGCCAATCAAATGTAAACAGCTGTGGGAGAAAGTTAATTAGCAGCAATGGAAATAATGACCAAGAGTTATAATCCAAGCATGGGTTGTACCTATGATATTTAAAAGATCATGTGGAAAAAAGCACAACATAAACATCCACAAACTATTAACACTCATTGGTAATTCATTGGTTGTAAACTGAGCTGAGCACAGGTGATCAGTGTATAGTATGAAACTAAGGTTTCAACTTTGAAGGAAGCAACAGTCAATGGGAGGGGTAACTCGTTCCAGCCTTAGACCCATTATTTTCAGTTGGGCCAAGGAGGGAATGGAAGAAAGATAGGAATTGGACACACACACTTTCTAAAATTTTTATTTACATCAGAATTCCCAATTACATCAGAACTAACACTACAATCTTGCACGTAGACTTTTATGGTATTATTTGAAAAACATATATTTTCAAAATCATTCAGAATTATGCTACATTTTCATTGCCAAAATAATAGATATTTGCATTTAAGTAGAAATAACACATAATGTGTCTACCATATTATGATAAA